TAATTGCCCAAACTACTTTACAATCAAACAAAATTAAATCACCCCATTTTAAATAACACATTTTCATATATAATTTTAGAACAAATTACACTGACGGTCTTTATATTTTTACTCTTTGTGTGATTTTAGGCCTTACACTTTCAATTGATTTGATTTTGACTATTAATTTTAAATTGTCTTGAGTAAATTTTTAAGAAAGAATATCTCTAAATTGATTAAGATTAACCTACTGAGTTGGGTAAGTTTATAATTTTACCTTTAAAATATGACACATGACACTCATATGCATATTTTTGATAAAAAAAAGTGTTAAGAGTTGTAATTAATTAAACCAAATTGAGACAAAATCAGAATTTAAGGTCAAAATCAAGCCAATTGAAATTACAGAGATTAAAATGAGACAAAGATCAAACACAGGGACTACCGTTGTAATTTATCCATAATTTTAAGAGGGAATTTCATGTCAGTGTAAAATTTAAAAAATAATTACAAATAAGTGGTAAAGTTTATAAATATTAGTAATTATAATTATAATTTTTTCATAACTACGTAATAATTTTTTGAAATTACCACTCATTGGTAATTTTTCCTAATGTTAACAAGTTAACCACTCATTATCTATATCTATACTATATATATAACCAAATGTAGTTATTTTGTCAAAAGCCTCCAAATATTTATTCCTAAATTCTCATAATTTTAAAACACTCTCTTTCCTACGTGGCAACCTTATTTGATTACCTTTCATGTTTTTTATTTTTCTTCATTTTTTATTTGTTTGATTAATTAAAATTAAAATTAATTTCATTACTTATGGATAAAGATTTGAATTTCAAAATTCCTCCATATAGATAAACATATAAAAACTAAAAATTAATTTTATAATCTACAGATAAAGATAAAAAATAAAAAATTAATTTAAAAAAATTAATTTCATAACTTATAAATAATTTAAAATTTCTTCACATAAATAAACAAATAAAAGTTGATAAATAACTTATAAAAATTAATTTCATGGCCTACAAATAAAGATAAAGATTAAATAATTGATTTTCAAAAAATTAAAATAATAAAATTTAGATAAAGATATGATTTGTTAATCTATATATCTATCAAAAACATATATATCTAAATCTTTATTTTGATTTACTTATTTTTGTTTCTCCTATCACATATTATCTTTTTTTATTTTAAATTTTTTATCTTATGAAATGCTCTTATCTATAACTTCTTATCTCCTATTAAATTCTTAACAATTTCTTTATAATTTTTATTATTCCTTATTATTTACCAAGTGATAAAGATTAAAAACAAAAATTATTGGCGAGTATTAATAATGAAATTAGTTGGCTTTGAATGAGAATCCTCTATATAGATAAACATATAAAAACTGAAAATTAATTTTATAGTCTACAAATAAAGATAAAAATTAAACAATTAATCTAAACAAATTAATTTCATAACTTATAGATAATTTAAAATTTCTTCCCATAAATAAACAAATAAAAGTTGATAAATAACTTATAAAAATTAATTTCATGGCCTACAAATAAAGATAAAGATTAAATAATTGATTTTCAAAAAATTAAAATAATAAAATTTAGATAAAGATATGATTTGTTAATCTATATATCTATCAAAAACATATATATCTAAATCTTTATTTTGATTTACTTATTTTTGTTTCTCCTATCACATATTATCTTTTTTTATTTTAAATTTTTTATCTTATGAAATGCCCTTATCTATAACTTCTTATCTCCTATTAAATTCTTAACCTTCTCTTGATAATTTTTATTATTCATTATTATCTACTAAATGATAAAGATTATAAAAAAAAAAAATTATCGCTCTGGATGAGAATAGTATTAATAATGAAATAATAAAGGCTACATGGGAGAAGGTAGCCCACAAAAATCTCACAAAATTAATTTTTTCAACTATATTTATAAAAGGTATATTTTTGAGATTCTTTCTATTAGTTAATTAAAATAATTTGCAGTTAAGATCTTGTTATGTTTTTTTTTTTTTTAAATTTTTTTATAAGGCTGTCATTCGTTATAGTATTTTCTTCAATCCCATCTCTAAAATTCTTTCTTTGAATTTTTGGTTTTTTCAATAATTAAGTGCCACAAAAATCTCACAAATTAATTTTTTTCACTTATATTATAAAGGTAATAATTTTGAGATTCTTTCTATATTAGTTATTTAAAAATTAATTTGCATTAGATCATTGTTATGGTTTTTTTTTTTTAATTTTTTTTATAAGCTGTCATTCGTTATAGTATTTCTTCATTCCATCTTCTAAATTCTCTCTTTGAAATTTTTGTTTTTTGTTCAATATTAAGTGCACAAAAATCTCACAAAATTAATTTTTTTCCACTATATTTATAAAAGGTAATTAATTTGAGATTCTTTACTATTAGTTATTAAAATAATTTGCATTAAGCATCATTGTATGTTTTTTTTTTAATTTTTTATAAGGCTGTCATCGTTATAGTATTTCTTCAATTCCATCCTAAATTCCTCTCTTTGAATTTTTTTTTTTTTCAAATAATTTAAGTTTAGAATTCAATTTCTTATCAAATTTGTTTTTCTGATCCTTATTTTATTGAAGATCGAGACGAATAAAACTTTCATATAATATATGAAATTAATGAATATTAAATACGAAAATGATAGGAAAGTACTCAATTTATCAATATCTCTATGTTATTATTAGTGATTGCTAAGATTATACTATTAATTAGGAGCCCATATGATTTAATTTAATGTTCATGACTCTATTTTGTAATTTGACATTTTTTCGTTGAGTAACGCGATATTAATTTTTTTTTGCGTGGCGATTATAATGATTAAAGCTATGTCCATTTGTTATATTTTTTTCAAGTTACAATTTAAATATAATTTTATCATTTTTTTTATAAATAAAATGGCATTAACATATTCTCTTTATATAATTTTTTTATAATACTAATAAGACTTCTTATCTTGATTAATTTTTTTTAAAAATGACGTAGAACTATGCAAGTATTAAATTCAAACTATGAAGAATGGATTTATACTTTGATATGATATAGTGTGTCATTGATAGAGGAAATCAAAGATAGAGAGTTGCTAATATAATTCAATAATGATTTGTTTAGAGTTCATTTATATAAGCAAAGACAACAACTTAGATTAATTTTTAAAAAAAACTACTTATAAATTATAATTTTTTTAAAAGTATATTATCATAATTTGATCCCACAATAATAATATACACCACTGATTTAAAAGTCCAAGTAAATTTATTGATAACTTTTCTGAGCTTATAGAATTTCTCTCTTTTAAATGTTTTGTTTTTAGTTTGATACAAGTATTGTATATTATCAAGTGACACACAAAATATGTATAGCTCTATTTTTCGATGCATCGCACGAGTTACCGCTAGTTATATATTAAGCAAAAGGGAGTTTTTAACCCCAAGCCTTATGGAGCTCCAATCCCATCTAAATTTCTGATTTTTTTGATTTAAAAAAAAAACCTTAGCCATTTATTAACTTTTTCTCAATCCCCAAATCTTACCCCTTATAATAACACTTTATTGCATTAAGAACAAGCCATAAAAAAAAATTCTTGAAAATTCAACATATGAATTCTTTGAAAAAAGTCCCAACACATATGATTATATAACCCTCATAATAACACTTTCATACATCCTAAGACAAGTATAAAAAAATTTTCTTAAAAAGTCCAACACATATAATTATTATCAAATATTAAAAATTTTAATATAATATAATAAAAAGAAGACATTTAATTCCTTGAAAAAATCAACACATATGATTAATATCAAAATATTAAATTTAATATAATATAAAAAGGAAAAAAGAAGACATTAAAAAAAAGAAAAAAAAAAAACATTTAAAAAATCACATTCACACATATAGATAATTGTAATATATTTAAGCGAAAAGTGGGTTTCTAAACCCTAAATCTTGTGGGAGTTTCTAATCTCAATCTTAATTTTCTAAATTTTTGATTTAAAAAAAAACCCTCAGCATTATTGATTTGCGTCAAAATTCGCCTGATCAGCATTTATTTAACTTTTTCCAATTCCACATTACTGCATTATTTGATTTTTGGTCAAATCCCTAATTAGCATTTAAAATCGATCTCTACAAAATAATTATAGATACAGCCCCGTGCATAGTTACTGCAGTAACTTTTTTAATTTCTCCTGTAATTTTGATTACTGATAAGATTGTTATATTATTTTATAAAAAATCTTAAAAACATAATTTATATATGAAAAATTAAAACAAATATTAAAATATCCTATAATTATCCCGTGCATAGCACGGGTTATAGGCTAGTACTAGATATAAGCAAAAAAGGAATTTTTTAACCCTAAAGCCTTGTGGGTGTTCCAATCTCCCAATCTAAGTTTCATGATTTTTTGATTAAAAAAAAAAAAAAAAAACTTAGCATTTTTTAACTTCTCCCAACCTCCAAGTATAAAAAAATTCTTTGAAAAGTCCAACGCATATGAATTCCTTGAAAAGTCCCAACACATACGATTATTATCCATTATAATAACATTTTAATACATTAAGAACAAACATAAAAAAAATTTCTTAAAAAGTCCAACACATATGATTATTATTAAAATATTAAACTTTAATATAATATAAAAAAGGAAGAAAAGAAGACATTTAAAAAAAAAATAAAAAAAAAATTTAAAAATCAAAATTCACATATATAGATAATTGTAAACACAATCTGTGCATAGCACGGTGATATGCTAGTTAATTAATTAATGGGAAGGGAGAGGCTTATCTCGAGTTGATTTTTTCCACTGGAGGGTATTGTTGGACTTTTGTTAACTCATCTCAGAATTCACATTAATGATCTAAATTGTTTAATGTGGAAAGGGTTGATCGGATATCAATAGAGAGCGGCAAAATAATAATAATAATAATAATAATAATAATAATAAACCCAACACGCAGGCACACATTTTATCAGAGATAAACGCTAGCCATTTAGAACTCTTCTAAAACTCTTTTTCTAGCCAATTCAACAAATCTGTCTTCTTTGGATTCATGTATGTCTCTCCCATTCCTCCTAACCCCAATATTCTGATTGAAAGACCTTTAGCATGAATTCGGATTCAATCCATTGATAATTAATTATATAACTACTTCTTCTTCTTTTCATTAACAATCTCTGAATGTCGTTTTCGAAATTCGAATTATCACATACAAGTTTTTTTTATTATCTTTTATTATTCTTCCAAGAATGATTTCGAATCCGAATTTGATATTGTACAATTATATTTCCAAGGGAGCTACGATTCTCGCCGAATTCAATTCCCAGGACGCTTCTCTCGCAACCCTAGCTTCCAAATGCCTCGACAACGCCTCTCCTCTTCACACCACCTTCTCTCACACGATTTGGAAGAGAACTCACACCTTGATCCACCATCCTTTTCTCTATTTCACAATCTACGATCAAAATCTCCATAATTCCAAAGCTCTCTGTTTCCTCACGAATGCGAAACAATCATTTGACAAGATAATCTCAGGCGAGACAGCCAAGTCTCTGGAGAATTTGAATTCTCATCGTTTTCAAGGCGAATTCAATCCCATCTTGGCGCCGCAATTGGACAGTGGAAGTTTGGATAGGCTGAAGAGCTTGAAGAAGAAGAAGAAAAAGAAGAAGAAGAAGAGGTCTAGTGTTGAGACGATCGGCCAAGGCAAAGACAAAGACAAAGATAAAGATAAAGATAGAGATGGATTGGTGGAAAACAAGGTGGATGTGTCGGAGGATGTAATTGTAATGAGCAGAGAACTCTCATACATGTCGATGCAAAAGAATGGATTGTTTGTGGATGCAAAGGCGAAGAGGATTTGGAAGAGGCAGGCTTGGGTAGTGTTGTCTCTGGTGGGTTTGCAGGGGATTTAAATGCATTGAAGGTTGATTCAATTGCTTTGTCTTCTCTCACAGGTCTGCCTGTCTGTCCAAAACTCGCAAATATTGTTTATAGATATGAACGAATGTTTCTGATTAATGGTAGTGGATTGATGGATTGATTTTTTTCAACAAAATTGCTGTTTGTGATTTTCTCATATTGTAACCAGGCTTTTTGCTTTTGTGGGAGGCTTCCTCTCATAGTGTTTCTTCTAGTGTGATTATTAGGTGATTGTTCTCTTTTTCGCTATAGCTGTGTTTCTAAAATTTTGAATTTGGATTTGGATTTGGATTTGGATTTGGATTTGTGATTTAAAAAAAAGAAAAAAAAGAAAGAAAGGTTTTTTCTTTTTCTTTTTCTTTTTCCTTCTCTCACAAATCACTACAATCTAAGGTGGTGTTTAAAAGAAATTGAAAATTAAATATTGAAAAATGAATGCTTAATTTTTTAAGTTGGAAGATTATTTGATAAAAATTTTAGTGGTGAATTAAAAAGTTAATCATATATACGAGATGAAATTTGAAATTTATTATTTTCAAATTTTTTTCTTCCAATTTTTATAGGGCAGTGGTGGTGGTGGCAGCAGCGGCGGCAGCAATGGTAGTGGCTATGGTGCCAATGGGCAATGGTGGGGGTAGTGCGGGGATAGTGATTGCGGTGATGGTGGTGGGGCGATGTAGTAGAGGTAGAAGAAAGGTGGTGGTGGTAGTATGGTGGAGGCAAGCATTTGTGTAGTAATTATGGTGGTGAAATGATGGTATTGGAGAGGTAGTGGCAGTGGCAACAACTGTAGTCAAATTTTTCTGAAGGTTAACCAAGAAGACCAACAGTAGGATCACTGGCTTCATGCTGAGCCTCCAATTGTTGCTGCCTAGAAGGCTTTCTCCTGTTTTTCCTAGGGATTTCCTCATCATCTTCACATGAGTCAGCCAGACAGGCCTCACAAGAGCAGGCATTAAAGAAACTATGGTCATCTTGATTAGACACATGTATAGGAGAGCCCTGGGATGAAAAGGAATGGACAGGAACACCTTCGAACATGTTGATTTTGGGGTTGAAAATCATTGGTGCCGAAGATTGGAACATTGCCCTTAGGAAAGGTGATTTCCATAGATCCATGGGGAAGAGTAACATAATGAGGCCACAATAAATTGGCAATCTCAAAATGCAGTTGCTCATAACAAAGTACTCCGTTGCATTTTGGTATTTGGAGTGGGAATTTTCCAGGCATGGCAAGTGTTATCTTGAGTAACAAATTCAACACACAGGGAATTCTTCTTCATTCTATTGTGGGGAATGTAAGAACATAAAGCACTCAACAGGAGGTGGAAGAGGAGTTGAAGTGGAAGGTGGTGGTAAGGGTTTACATGAACTAGGGGAAGGAATTTGGAAATTTGGTCTACCATGTTAGTATCCTGGTGGCGGTGAAATTATAATGGTGCACCTTAATATGTATTAAAAAAAAATTATAAATTTAGTTAGTATTATGTAAGAATATTGCTGTTTAAAATTTTCTCTAACTTTTGATTTACATTTTAAGAATCACTTAAACTTTTGAGTGATACAAATTGTGATTATCAAACCGATTTAATTGATTTTCATGTAGGCTCAATTTGTTTGTGATGAAAAAGGTAGAAAGTGAGGAAAAGAGTGAAAGAAAAAAAAGGGGGAAATTACCAGGAAGTCTTGTTTGAAAAACGTGTAGTCTATTTAGTCCCATAACTTTTTGCTTATACCCAAAAGTTCTATACTGTTATTCTTCTTCTTCTCTGCCTCTCCTCTTCTTTGTCTCTTTTTATCTTTGTGTTTTCCAGCGATCGTTGACGGGTAACCATATCTTGCTTCTTCTCTTTCTCTTTCCGATATATAGTTACCGGCGACCGACGACTACCATCGACTGAGATTCACCAGCAACCTCCGACCGCCGACTATTTACTTCACTCTCACCGACAATAAAAAAAATATGTTTCCGACGAAGAAGATGAGTAGATTTACATCAGATCTGATGTAGATCTACATTAGATCCGGCTAGATCTAAACAAAAAATAGTTGTCGGAGTACAATCCTCTCTCTATAATCGCCTCTCTCCTTCGATCTCTTATTTTTTTTACATTTTCTCTGTTATACACTTCTCCTTTTTCTGTTCTAATGGAGAAATTTTTTAAGTTTTGAACAAGTTATTTTCGAGTTTTAGTTACAGGTGGTGAAAACTGTAAAATTTTATAGTTTTAAATTTTTTTGGTGCCGTTTTGATTTACATCAGATCTGAGTAGATCTACATCAGATTCGGCTATATCTAAACAAAAAATAGTTGCCGGAGTACAATCCTCTCTCTATATTCACCTCTCTCCTTCGATCTCTTGTTTTTTTTTTTTTTTTCACATTTTCTTTGTTATACACTTCTCTTTTTCTGTTCTAATAGAGAAAATTTTTAAGTTCTAAACAAGTTATTTTCGAGTTTTAGTAACAGGCGGTGAAAACTGTAACATTTTGCAGTTTTAAATTTTTTTGGTGCTAGAATGAATCATGGTATAAAACTGTAAAATTTTACAGTTTCATAACAGTCTTTAGAACTGTAAAATTTTACAGTTTCATAACATGTTTTTCAGTTTAATTAATAAGAATAAATACTTAATAGATTTTTGCTTTGAAACTGTAATATTTTACAATTTCAAAACTTACTTTTCAGTTTGATCAATATTGGAGATTATTTGCTTAAACCTTACAAAAATTGAAAAATAGCATATGTTTTTTCCATTGTTGCTGTTTTTTGTCGTTCCATTTTTTTTTCTTTTAGTTTATTAATATTTAGCACATTTTGCTATATTTTTTCACTCTAATTTCTCCATTTATTATTATTATTTTTTTCCGGCGATATTTTGGATATTTCGGTGAATCTCCAATGATGTTCTTAACGTTCCGTGAACGTTCTGAACATTCCGGCCGGCGACTTCCATTAACGTTCTTAACACTCCGGTGAACTTCCGGCGATACTCCGGTGACTTCCCGGCGATACTCCGGCGACTTTCCGATGATGTTGAATATTCCGACGAGTTTTCGGTGACCGTTTGATTGAAGTTTGACGGTAGTAGAATGTAACAGCATCTGTAAATTGAAAAAAAAAAAGAAAAGAATTTTTTGGTAACAATTAAAAATATATAGGACTAATTGGTGTAAGTGTTTTGTTTGGGGATTAGATAGATCTTGAACTTTGTATATGAGACTTATTGGTAAGTTCCCCCCCAAATAATATATTTGTGATTTGTTTAGCTTGAAAGTGATAGAAAGTAGAAAAAATAATAATTTTCTTATACAACCAATATTAGCATTGTTAACCGTCGGAGATTTCCTAAAAACTACAAAACTTTAATTATTTTTTTATTTTTTATTTACTATTTTAATAGTCTTATTTATTTGTTTATTTTAATAGTCTTATTTATTTGAATTTTAAATATGTGTTTGGTTTCAAATGCAATAGGTGTGTCTGTTCCTAATAGACACCATAGAGCCTTTTTATATAGGACTCTAACATTGGGAAAAAATATATAACGTTCTCTATTCTCTCTCTCTCTCTACGGTATTTTTATATTCCATATTTTTGGGCAATTGATACATTCTTAGCAAATTCTTCTGGTATAACTGTGCATTGTGTCAGATCCTGTAAAGTTTTGGGTTGTATCTTGGAGTCGTTTGTGATCGTTAAAACTTGTACGGAGGGAACGCATAACGACTTTAGGACAGCGTCTTTAACGTGCCTCTCACAATCACACATGCTATTTTCTGAACCATTTTTTTCATTTTCTTCTTACTCTGTTATGTATATATATATAGTTTTATTGAATTGTCAAAACTTATTTTCAGAATCTGTTTTGCTTTCAATTTTATTCTATAAAATTGATTTAAAATAATTATTGTTCAATTCTCCTAAAGTAACTAATTTTAAATTTCTTGCGAAAAACACAAGAAAACACACCAAAAAAAGAAAAGAAAAAAAGAATGTCAAAATTATTTATAATTAGGACTGCAAACGAGCCGAACCGAGTTTTAGTATGTTTGGACTTGTTTATTAAAATTTAACTAATTCAAACTTAAGGTCAAGCTTAATAAAAAATTTAACGAACCGAGCTCAAGCCGAGTCGGCTTAGGCTTGACTCGAGCTCGAGCATATTCACGAGTCTTAATGAGCCAAAAAATTTATAAATTTATACTTGTGTATGAGACTAAAGTTATAATTAAAATTTTGATTATACAGTTATATCTATTCCTTAACTTGGCATTTCAGAATAATTGTTATTGAGATATAAAATGTCCTTGTCAATATCCAAAGGCTTAGGCTTGTATCTTCAATCTTGTTGAATTGTATAAATAACCATTGCATTTGTACTTAGTGTTACATATTCAAGAGGTTGTTCAGATATATTTCTTTAATTGTGCAGTGTCATCAGAATAGATTTGAAGAGAGCTGTAAACATTTTCGCAACAAGTGTCCCCAATTTAAGCAAGCTCCAAATTAATATCGTGCCGTTGATTGCTGCTACTACATGAATGTCTGGAGCTCACTGATGTCTATAAATTAGGCTTTTTGATTAGAGACTGTTATATCTATGGATGCAGTAATTATCCCGTTATTAGAAAAATGCTTCATTTTAAGTAGCTTTGCTAGTTTATATAATTGGTGTGATATATCTATACTATCTACATTATTATTATTATTATTATTATTATTATTATTAAGTGAAGGTTGAATTTGGTGTCTTAGCCTTTTTCTTGTTTCTTCTTATGTCACATGTCATTTCTTTATTTAAAACAAAACAGTTATACAAAGAAAACACACAAGACTCAAAACTTTGATCTTGAGTTTAGAAAATAAAGTTTTCACCATTTGAGCAGCACATATATTTTGATATTAATTAATTTATTATTTATTTTTATTTTTACTTGTTAAATTACACATAATATCCAAAGGTTTTTCCTTCTCTTTCCTTGGGTTCTAGCCCTAACAATTTGTATTTATTTATTTATTTTTAGTAGTGTTTTTTTGTGTGTTGAAATTCTAAAAATTTTGCCACTGTCATGTAAGTAAATTTCTCAATTGCCACTATCAAGTAATTTTTCCTTTAATATTTTCTATTTTTAGTTGATTCAACTTTATAAGGTGGAATATCTTTAAATTCGATCTCTGAATTAACTTGAATTTTTGATTTATTCACACTCGTTGCTTACCCAGGCACATTTGATTGGGGTATTAATACTATATTTGGTTGGGGATTTAGAAAGGAAAATGAAAAAGATGTGTAAAACTAGGTGAAGTATAAACATATTTTATTCACATTTTAGTTTTTTTTTTCAAATCTCTTTTCAAATCTCTCAACCAAACACAACGCAATAGGGAGATTGAATGTGGACGGAATATGAGTCCAATTTGATTGTAGAGCGTAAGGGAATAATGAAGAGAGGATTGGAAGTGAGGAACATTTAGGTTCAATTGGATTATTAAATTTTGTGATTGCTTTGTACGGTAGTAAATTTTGAATTATTTTTATATTTAATTTTTTTTTCTTTGTCCAATGATAAACAACAATTATATATTCTTATTTTATTCTAACTAAATTTAATCTTCACTCATTTTATCCAATTATTATTATTAATTTTTTTAAAAGAAAATTATAAAACAGTTTTATTAAAATAAAAGTAAACAATATATAAACATACCGATCAAGGAAAAAAAAAAAAAAAGACCTTAAAAGACCAAACAAACAATCTATAACCTAACAAGAACTACAACTAACAAAATACGAAACTGTCAAAAAAATAACTATGATCTACTGATTTTAACACATATGTGGTTTGAAAAAGTAAGATCTATATCAAACCTATCGTCAACGTCGTCTCTGTACTTTGGTCACTGCCAAATGTTATAGTTAAAGAGAAAGCACACCCATAACAATATGGGAGGAGGATTGAAAGAAGAGAGAACTATTGTGGGTATCGAAAATTTAAAAATCTATGCCAAAATTGGAGAAAAAGTTTCAAACCCCTCTTTCTAGGCAATAAAAATTTAGATCTACACTTGAAAATATTTTGAGAAGTCGTCGGAGATAGGCCAAAAAGTTGTCAGCGGACACTAAAAATTGCCTTAGAGAGAGCCTCTCCAGTGCCCCCTCTCTAGGCATTCCATCCAATTATTTATTTCATCTATTTTCTCTTCAAAGAAAAGTTTAGAAGGCCAAGTCAGCAGTTTCATTGATGGTAAATGTTAGAATAGTTCAAAACGTAAAATTGATATAACTAAAAAGATTGGAGTGGTTGGTTTTTTAGGAATAACTGAGGCTATAAATGAAATATTCTCAAAACAAAAAGACCAACAGATGCATTAAAAATATAAAAAATAATACTAACATATGAAAAAAATTCATTAAAAAAAAGAAGAGAGAGAGAGAGAGAGAGAAATTTAGAAGTAGTATAGCATTCAAAAGTAAACTAAAGAGACTTTTTGACAAACTTCCCAGGGGTGATTTTGTTAATTTACACATTATTTGTTGTGTTCTTTTCACATAAATATATAAGATTTACAATAGATTTCATTCTTATTATTGAGGTTATGGTTTACTACTGCAACAACATCAATAGAAAAATTTTA